GTTGGTGCTCATCGTGAAAGAAATGTCAAACTATAGATAAAAAACAAAGAGGCGATGCTACAAAACGCGTCTACAGGAATTGTCAAGATATTGTTGTCATAGAAACGAAAACCCTCGTGAGCGTTTTTTTTTTTTTGGGCGCACAGACGCTTCATCCCAGCGCTCCGCAGCGCCCTTCCAGCGCCTTTCTGCCAGAAAAGGCGCTATGTGTTATGTGCCTGGAACACCTCTAACAGGAGGCGCCCAGGAGGCATGCGCTAACCACCTCAACTGATCCCTTTCGACAAAAAGGAGCAGTGACTCTACTACGAGCTCCCTCCAGATGTACGACCTCCTTACCCTATCTCTAAGGCTGAGCCCAGCCACCCCACGGAGGAAACTTACTTCTGCCGCTTGTGTCTGCGATCTCATTCTTTCAGTCACCACTCAGAGCTCATGACCATAGGTGAGGGTTGGGACTTAGATCGGCCAGTAAATCAAACGCTTCGCTGGTCCGGTCCGGCGCAGCACCTGCATCACTGCAGAAGCTGCACCAAACCGCCAATCCATCTCACGCTCCATTCTACACTCACTCGTGAACAAGACCCCAAGATAGGCCTACCTGAACTCCCCTGCAGGAGGCAGTAACACTCACACAACTAAGAGAGGGCAATCTACTGGTTTCAAGCAGAGAACCACGGCCTCAGATTTGGAGGTGCCCCACTATTAGGCCTACTTTCAAATTGTAAAGCATTTTTGAGGTGGCACAAAGCTTGTGTTATTCATTGAGAATCATCATGGAAGTTTTACTATGGGACCTTGAAATGTCCTGGAAAAAGTATTAGGGGATCAGCATGTCCACATATACAAATTTTGACAGTATCAGAGTTTAAAGGTTACCCTGCACACTGGTTAGTCTGAGTACTATCACCTGTTAAATCTGGACTCAATTGTGCAATAACACTGTCAACATCATTTTGAAATCTTAAGCAGTGATTGTGTAAAAACGTGTATAAATACGACTACACTGGCATCTTTGATCTGGTTGGACAAACGCTGTGTTCGAAAAGGCCAAGAATATCAGTGCCTGTAGTACCGATGTTTGATCTGGAGCATCTGTCCAGACTATTATCATTCATACACTGAATTGCAACACACAGACCAAACATCTGACGCAGCAGATAAGGGTCCTGAGTACACTGCCAGCAAATGTCTGGCAAGGGACGTCACACTCTGTGCCAGGAGGGCTCCGGATATCTCACCTTGTACGTGTCCACCAGTCTGGCGTGCGGGAAGTGAAACGGGGCGATGAACAGTCGGACACACTCGCTCTTCACCCCGTCACGATACAGGTTATCTGCAATGATCCGGGCCACAAAGTTCTTGCCAGTGCCTGACCAGCCGTGGAAGGAGAGCGTCAGCGGCTTGTTGGACTCCGGGTTGTTGATAAAACCCTGGATGGCTTTCAGAACCACAGACTGAGCCAGGTGCTGCCCGTGGAGCTTCGTCTGGAGGTCCCTCGAAAGACCTGCACAAGAACAAGATTTAATAAGAAGAACAAGATTTACTATCAAGAAGGTTTTCATTTACAAGGAATTAACTTTGGTCTTTGATGCATATATTAAACATACAATAAACATGATATAACAAAATTAAAATAAAGACAAAGTACTGTGACAGTCAAGAACATAAATATAGAATAAAAACATTACAATAAAAGATACTTTAAAAATACTATAGCATAAATATGTACAATACAGCTGTTCTGAACAAGCTGTACAAAAATATTAATCAGCAGATGTGCAAAAGATCACACTATACCAAATACTTGCAGTGTACAGAGATCATAGTCCACGATTTGTGTTAATGTACGCACGTACACGTAGAGTTCATATTGAATAATGGCAGGAGCAGATAAGAATATGCCCAGCGATGATGCAATGCCATTATATTAAGTTGGGAAGCTCCACATGGCTCAGGAGCTTTTTCCATATATCTCAGTCTTACTCAGTATTAACATCCCTTGGCATGTTACTGCAGTCCAACACAGATGCTCAGTGGTGTTCACACTATTAGGTTTTAACTGAAGTCACTGATGCGCAGAAATGTGTGACAATATTAAAAGTTAAAGGGCTATGAAGGCAAGCAACGTAAGTATTTAACTCCGCAGCTAAAAAACAGCTGATAAATGAAGGTAAACATGCTGACCTCCGATCAGTGCAATTACAACAGAACCCATAAAGAACACAGCACTCTGAATCCCTTTCTGAGGGGCGTCTCAGGTAACATTTATTTGGATAGTCTGCTGACAGATAGGGTATAGGATATTTGTAACATTTTAACAGCTGTCTGAGTTGAGGTTTAACTGTTTTGTTTTATTCTGTAGATGTTAAACAGATTATCTATAGAGTGTCACAATTCATGGACGTACTGACATTCTCAGGATAACTCAGTTGAACTTGAAGTATTCACTTTGCAGCTGTAAACTGTCACACATTAACATTTACAGACAAAACAAAACAGCTGAATTGTTGAATCTCAAACAACAGGCTGCTGAGATGTTACATACTCCATGAAACCAGGGCTGTCCAATGTGGGGCCCCTGGACCAAAGTTGGCCCGCAATAAGGTTTGATTTGGTTTTTATCATAATATAAATTGCTGTTTATACCTTTTTCTTGAGAGGCAGACAATGCGAGTTAAATTTGTGGGATCCCTTATTATTGATTAGTCAGTCAGATGAGTTTGAATACATTGAGGCAGGAAAAAAATGAAGAGACAGTGGCAAATGGACAAAAGGCATTTCGGCTGACGGAACGAGGGATCCTAGAACTATTTTGCATCTTAACAATACAATACAATAAATAAAATACAACACAACAGGTGTTAACTTTTAGGCTGTGGTCCACCATTAAGTTTCAGTTTTTAAGGTATCCAAGCGAATAAGTTAGATCACCCCTGCTATTAAATATCTGTAGGCGGACAATCCAAATACAGTGTAAAATATTCCTCCTCCATCATTTTGTTCTTCTCAAACATAATTTGAGTTATCCAGTGTTAGAAAACCATAGTAGAAAACCTAAATTACACATCAAATCAGTCTCGCTTCCTGTAAAGTATCATCAAAATAAAAGACCTAATCCATGGTTGCAACTTACTTTATGGACATGGCATGTACTCACATTATAAAGATCATTTATTGTAAATATTTATTGCCATTGAAAGCAAATCTGCTGTCTGTCTTGTGTAAGCAGCCCATGTGAAGCAAGAAATGAAAGTAACTTTGTTTCAGAAGCTGGGTTTGATTGATCACAGATAATAATCTATGACTCAAATAAACAGGCCGACCAGAAACAGTAAAGAGTAGTCCAATTCTTTTTATGATATCTGATACAGATTGCAACACAACACATGATGTTGTTATAAAATCATATAAGGAAGTAAACAATGTGAATTACAGTACAGTATGGCCTGAGACAGGATATTGCTGGCACATGATGGGACTGTCCCAACACATGCACTGGGCCATATAAGCAGACAGTTTGAGTTACCTGTGATGTTGTTGGTTATCCTGCAGTCTCCAGATTCACAGCACTGGCCCAGGCTACAGTACCACTGATGCAGCAGGCTGATGTAGTCCTGGGGAAAACCTGCCCAGAGGTCCCTGGTAGGAACTGATCACATCAACAACAAAACGACTCAATAATGTACCAATACTGTAAGTCACGATGATCAGCTGTGCTTAATATGAGCTGTAATGTAACATACATACTGGTGAATCTGACAAGCATTACATAATAGCATGTGATAGGATAGCTTTCATTACATAAAATCATTTCTTACCTTGCTGTGTGGCATCGTCTTGGTGGGGCTGACACTCCCCCTCCCATATGTTGCAATAAATATAATTAAAATAGTAGGTGGACACATTGGAGATGCTGTCGAACTGGAAGAAGTCTGCCTCTGCGGACAGAGCCCAGAGCACAGGCAGCAACCACCGCACGAACATCGGTGAAGAGGCAGGTGCGAGGCGGCCGAAAAGAGACTGAACACCGCGCCCCGGGTCTCCTCTCCAGGTTTATTCAAACCAGTCTACTGATGGCCTGCTCAGTGTGGGATATTTAACCCTCTCCCCCATTGTAGCGAAGGAGGAGCCCGTTTTTCAACATTGCGTGAACTGCACATGCGCTCACTAACTCCGCCCGTTGTCAAGAGAATCTCGGTTTCCTGTCTCCAGGGGTTAATTAAACTGCATGTCACTAATTATAACACTGGTTCATAATATTTCAAAACATGTTTAGCACCGTAACAGCCCATAAAAGCCAGTGAGGATTAGAATACACCGGGGATGACGTTTTTCTGTAGGCTGTCGCGGACGTTAGCGTCACCCTGGTTGCCTTGTCAAAAAGCCAGTGGGATTTTTCCATTAGAGTTTGAATCGCTGCCGAAAATAAGCTGTGGCAAACAAACGTTTCAGACTTGTTAGACATCTTAATATTCACAAATGAACACTGCTTTCAAGATAATTGAAGCCTAAATGCAAACGCCAGAAGCAAAAGCTAACGTTAAGCTTTAAACGAACTACACAACGGTCGCAAGACCTGACGTCACCACAATCACTGTAAAACTGTTCCGCGCGGCTCGGGGTGATGACGTTTTGAAGTCTCGTTTCGCTAGTGGTAAGTAACCGTTTTTGAGGACACTAACAAGCTTTTAAATTCACGGTTGGGGGAATTTTTCGACGTTGTCTAGTAGAACATAACGTTTATGCATCTTAAGCTTTTGTTAGTGGCATCTAACCAAAAACCATATTAAAAAAAGTTGACTTTAAGACGAGGAAACCATCAATGGTCAAATTTAAGCAATTCCTGTGGCACTGCGCCTCATTTATGCCAAGGCAGCCACTTTGTGCAAGTTATCCGCCCACCTAGTTTACCAACGTCAGCTTAGAGCACACCGGAAGTAGCAAACAGCATTTTTATTGGTACATTGTGCTTTTCTGCTTTCAATAATAGACAAAAGCAAGGTACAGAATTTATTGTATAGTTTATTGCCACAATTTTGCAAAAGCACTTAAAGTTCTTGATATTCATGATAATGCATTCACATTTCTACATGCCACATTCTCACTCACACACACACACACACACACACACACACACACGAGGCTGGGGCTACCCCCGTTAAACATTCACACATACTGATGGCACACCCATTAGGAGCAGTTTGGGGCTCTGTCTTTCTCAAGGATGTTTCAACACAGGCTGGATGCCACAGCTGCTGGGTGGCTTGATCATCAGGGCCAAAGGGCTTCACAGCTGCACTCCTGAGGGGGAACAAACAGACTTCTAATTAAAAACAAAACTAGGAAAATGGGTAACAAAACTTGTTTTATGACCAAACAGCCTCAGAAAAAAATGGAACGGTAAGGAGTATAATCAAGAGCAATCATTTGGCAGAATCTTTTCATCACAGGTAGAGTGGTCAACATGGGTATTTATAAAAAGGCTAGCTGAAGGACTTGAGATGCTTACCAAGGTCAGACTGGCAGATGCAGCGCCTTCCTGGAGATGAAGACACAAAAAAACCTTATTACAAGTGAGTGACTGGTTGATAAAGCATTCAGTATACTGGGTTACTCAGTAACAGATGAGGTCCACATTAAACTTCAGGTCAGACATTTGTTAAGACATCACTGAACCCATGGTATCATTTAGCATCTTGAGTGAGGATCTGCATTCTCACCTCAGCAGATCGTCTTTGCTGTTCAATCCAGCATCGCCATCATAGCCTGAAGAAAGATTAGCCTAAGTTTAATATGCACACCAAACATTAGGATGAGTATTTACAGACTGACCAGGTCAGCTAGAGCTAATATAACAGACTCCATGGTTTACAGTCAGTTGTTACTTTGTCATCACACAGGCCAGTCTACAGGGATCACAAGGGGTTTACTGTGAGCAACCACGATCCAGCTAATGTACATGTGGAGCACTCAGACCCAGATGAGGCAGAGTTCAGGGGACCATTGCCATGAATGTAAACCAATTTTGGTACAGGAAAACTAAAAATTCCATCTTGTGATCAGAAGTTCCCAAGCATCTTAGCCATCTTTGAGTTAAGAGTGAAACAAGTAAATTTAACCAGATGCCAACTCCACTGGTCATTTGGGTCTGTTGTGCTTTTGCTCACTTTGCATACTCACAATGCTTGTGTGTGACCTCTTGTTCACACATCTGTCTCAGTCCCACTTGATCTGCAAGTAGAGAATTTGTTGTGAATTTATGCAATTTAAAAGCACATTTCTTTATCTACAAACAATCCAGATCAGACAAATTGACCAACTTCCTCAACTGGATCAGAGACCTGATTCAAATTCATCACATCTGAATGATTTAGCTACACTGTGCCAAACTTTGACATGATACTTACCAATGCAAGGCTGTAGATTCGCCAAGGTTTTACATGTCTGGATGGGATGAGAAGAGTTTTGTTATTACTGTGTTCTGAACACTTGAGGGCTTTAAGACAAATGTAATGGATACATCAGCTAGGAGCGAAAGACAATAGATAATCGTCACTGTTCAATCTGCTGAACTATGCACTCATCATTGTATCGTGCATCATTCCAGATTCTTATACTTCAGTCTTTAAATCTCACCTTCACTTTGTCTTTAGCTCCGCCATGTTCTTGTTGCTGAAAAATGGGGAAAAAAGTATTTAGAAAACACAGAAATCAAGGAGCCTCACTGATCATTGAGGCCGACACATCAGCTAGGAGCGAAAGACAATAGATAATCTTCACAGTTAAATCTGCTGAACTATGCACTCATCATTGTATCCAGCATCATTAAAGATTCTTATTCTTTACACTTTAATCTCACCGATTCTTGTCTTCAGCCCTGCCATGTTCTTATTCCTGAAAATGAGAAAAATATTTAGGAACCAACCCAGAAATCAAGTAGCCTCAGTGGTCATTGAGGCCAATACATCAGCTAGGAGCGAAAGACAATACATAATCTTCACTGTACAATCTGCTGAACTATGCACTCATCATTGTATCAAAGCAATGTAATTTATAAAAGGTTTACTCTAATAAAATAAAAAAAACTGAACTCACCTGTAACTGCTCTGAGAAGATGAAAGCAAGATCCAAGAACACCAGGACCATCTGCAAGTCAATTGCCAGAAATTAGTAAAATCCCACATTTAAAACATGCAGGCATTTCTTAATCTGCACTGCATCAGTATTAAGTCCTCTTTCACTCTTATTCAGAGAGATTCCCAATGTTTTTTTAAACAAGATCATCATTGACAGTTTGTGTTAGGAGAATGCTCCGAGAGATAATTTGGCCCATTACCTGTCCTGGATGTCACCGAATGGTCAAGTCAACCAATGAAAGCACACCTGCAGAAACAAGACAAAATGAGCAAACACAATAAACTTAAGCTTGTACACATAAAGTTGTCTGTGCCTCAGATAATTCAACTGGTGGGTTGAAATGATCGTCATCCATATTGTCAAGAGTAGCAAATAAAGGTCATCATAGCAGCACAGGGAGGATGTGCAGGAGGGCGGTGGACTGATGCTTCTCTGGGTGTTGCCATGTTTTGAGGGTAAGGCCAAATGTTAGAAGTCTGCAGGAACAGACTCAACTGCTTGGCATTATCTATGTACCTCAGCCAAAGGAGCAGTCTTAGCCTAAATGCTCGCCACTTGAGTTTGTGATGTATGATGAAAGCACTACAGTCTTCATCATGATGTGTTACCAATTCATTAAGACTAAAACCTGTCAAACTAACCATGGACACCAGAGAAGCAGGAATCCATCTTCACTGTCTGTTACATTAAACTGACACTTGCCTTGTTTCTCCATCAGTTCAGATTTTCAGCTTCCAGCTTCATGTCTCCTGACTTTGCCGAGACCTGTGAAAACAGATCTTTCAGTACCATACTAGTCATGTCAAAAGCAAAAAGCATAGCTTGACTAGAAGTCTCAGTGTAAAATTTCTCAGAAATCACTTCTGTCCACTACTCTTACACTTAAAATCATCACTGACTTCCAGTTAAAAAGCAGAATTAATTCCTAAAAGTAACTTACCTGTATAGTAGTTTGTGTTGGTCAATGCTGTACATCATATTGAGCCTGAAGAAACAAAAGCACTTTAGACAAGTCCAACATGCTATTAATCTTTTGAAGTTTGTGAAATGGCACAACTAAATCAATCGTGCCATTGCTTTAACCTCAGTAATGCAGTTCTCAGAAATCACTTCTGTCCACTACTCTTATAATTAAGCATCATTAGTTACATTACGTTATTCACAAGTAATGCATTTATGGTTCCTTACCATCTGACGTCCACCTTCATTTTGCAGAGATACTGTCGACAGGCCTGCAAACAGAAAAGGGAAAATGACATTTTTAGCTTTTAATACTAGTGTTTAAAACGATGCAGCTTCTTTGCAGTATAGTAAAACTTCAAAAACCTCATTAATTCCTGTAAAATAGTGCGCACACGGCAGTTAATAGTACAGGAGCTGTGCAGCTAACAACTAGTTTTAAGTCTTGTCCCATGCAGTCAGAAATGTTGGCATTCTTCACATTGATTCAGATGTCCCTACCAACATTTATTTCATCATATAGTCATGGGAAAATGCTACAGTAAGGTGAATTAAGTTATTTAAAGTGAAAGGATTAGCTCGCTGGCTAATTAGCATCTTGACACGCGCAACGGGGCACGTGGTAGAGGCCTGGCAGCTAACTATGCTAGCACTAACGGTTGTTCTCATTTTCATCTAGGAGACGTCAGCGAAAAATATAGCAAAGGTTCAGAAATATTAATAGATATGTTGCATTTTAATGTCTGCTTTCACACCAAGAAACGTCTATAGTTGTACTACATCGAATTAGGAAGAGTCAATGAGAGTCGGGAAGTCATATTTACCTGCTGCGTGGCAGAAGAGTGAGGACAAGCAGAGGGTGCGGAGCCTTTTTATTGAAGATGTCGCAGTGGCTGATGGGAGAATTTTTCAACGGTCAGCACCCCTGCTGGACATTCGTGTCATCAAAAGAAAAAAGTAAAAAAAAAAAAAAAAAAAGTTTAAAATATATTTTAAAAATTGAATTACGTGCGAAATAGTAAGTGATGGAAAAAGTATTTAAATCTTTACTCAACTAAAAGTAAAAATACTACACTGTAAAAACGCAGCTACAAGTAAAAGTCTTGCATTCAAAGTCCTACTCAAGTAAAAGGAGGCTACAAAAGTGTTAGCATTAGTCTCTTGTCATTTGTCTCAAATCTTAAAACATAATGTTTTCAATGGCCTTTGGTTGTTTGTAGTGGTACTAATATTTTTATATTGTTCTTACTGGTGTTTTTCTGTTTTATATTTGTGTACGTGTTATATTGCTATATATTTGTGTATCGTTCTTTAATTTGTACAGGACTTTGGTCAACTGCGGTTGTTTTTAAATGTGCTATATACTAAATTTGATTTGATTTACTTAAGCACCAAGAGAAAATACTCATTACACAGAATGGCCCATTTCAGATTCACTGATATTATATTATTATTATTGTATTACATTTATTAATTCATCAGAATTTATAGGTGAATTTGAGTATTAATAATCTGAATTTGTAAAGTGACTAGAAACTAAAGTTATCAAACATATTAGTCAAGTAAAAAGTTCAGTATTTGCCTTCAAAATGTAGTGTAAGTATAAAGTAGTACACAATGGAAATACTTACGTAAAATACAACTACAGTACAGGCCAAAAGTTTGGACACACCTTCTCATTCAATGTGTTTTCTTTATTTTCATGACTATTTACATTGTAGATTCTCACTGAAGGCATCAAAACTATGAATGAACACATGTGGAGTTATGTACTTAACAAAAAAAGGTGAAATAACTGAAAACATGTTTTATATTCTAGTTTCTTCAAAATAGCCACCCTTTGCTCTGATTACTGCTTTGCACACTCTTGGCATTCTCTCCATGAGCTTCAAGAGGTAGTCACCTGAAATGGTTTTCCAACAGTCTTGAAGGAGTTCCCAGAGGTGTTTAGCACTTGTTGGCCCCTTTGCCTTCACTCTGCGGTCCAGCTCACCCCAAACCATCTCGACTGGGTTCAGGTCCGGTGACTGTGGAGGCCAGGTCATCTGCCGCAGCACTCCATCACTCTCCTTCTTGGTCAAATAGCCCTTACACAGCCTGGAGGTGTGTTTGGGGTCATTGTCCTGTTGAAAAATAAATGATCGTCCAACTAAACGCAAACCGGATGGGATGGCATGTCGCTGCAGGATGCTGTGGTAGCCATGCTGGTTCAGTGTGCCTTCAATTTTGAATAAATCCCCAACAGTGTCACCAGCAAAACACCCCCACACCATCACACCTCCTCCTCCATGCTTCACAGTGGGAACCAGGCATGTGGAATCCATCCGTTCACCTTTTCTGCGTCTCACAAAGACACTGCGGTTGGAACCAAAGATCTCAAATTTGGACTCATCAGACCAAAGCACAGATTTCCACTGGTCTAATGTCCATTCTTTGTGTTTCTTGGCCCAAACAAATCTCTTCTGCTTGTTGCCTCTCCTTAGCAGTGGTTTCCTAGCAGCTATTTGACCATGAAGGCCTGATTGGCGCAGTCTCCTCTTAACAGTTGTTCTAGAGATGGGTCTGCTGCTAGAACTCTGTGTGGCATTCATCTGGTCTCTGATCTGAGCTGCTGTTAACTTGCGATTTCTGAGGCTGGTGACTCGGATGAACTTATCCTCAGAAGCAGAGGTGACTCTTGGTCTTCCTTTCCTGGGTCGGTCCTCATGTGTGCCAGTTTCGTTGTAGCGCTTGATGGTTTTTGCGACTCCACTTGGGGACACATTTAAAGTTTTTGCAATTTTCCGGACTGACTGACCTTCATTTCTTAAAGTAATGATGGCCACTCGTTTTTCTTTAGTTAGCTGATTGGTTCTTGCCATAATATGAATTTTAACAGTTGTCCAATAGGGCTGTCAGCTGTGTATTAACCTGACTTCTGCACAACACAACTGATGGTCCCAACCCCATTGATAAAGCAAGAAATTCCACTAATTAACCCTGATAAGGCACACCTGTGAAGTGGAAACCATTTCAGGTGACTACCTCTTGAAGCTCATGGAGAGAATGCCAAGAGTGTGCAAAGCAGTAATCAGAGCAAAGGGTGGCTATTTTGAAGAAACTAGAATATAAAACATGTTTTCAGTTATTTCACCTTTTTTTGTTAAGTACATAACTCCACATGTGTTCATTCATAGTTTTGATGCCTTCAGTGAGAATCTACAATGTAAATAGTCATGAAAATAAAGAAAACGCATTGAATGAGAAGGTGTGTCCAAACTTTTGGCCTGTACTGTACGTCAAAGTTGTACTTAGTGCAGTACATGAGTAAATGTACTTAGTTACATTTTACCACTGGAAACAGTAGTATTGACCTTGAAAAGAGTAGTTTGAGTCATAATAATGTTAACTCAAGGTCCACTTATTCACTTTATCTGGGGCTTTTAAACCCATCTGATCATCTTCCTCAGCTTTATCTCAGGTTGCAGAAGGAGGTTCACTTTATTAAACTTGCAAAGGGAATTTAAAAGAAGTAAGCACCAATATCAAAAACGTATTGTAATAAATATATTCACTTGAGACTTTACTCAACAAAATGCTGAAGCTAATGTTACACATCAGATTTTCTGAGGATGTGTTATCCTGTTTTTGTACATGACGTTACCAAGTTAACTCACAAAGGCTGGATCACCAAACAGGCAAGGTGAGCAACTGCTCGGAGGCCCCAAGACCCTGTGGGCCCCAGAAGCCCCAGGTTCATAGCTGGAGCTGGTCAACTGATTTTGTGTAATTTAATTAAGATTTGTTAAGGTAATACATCAAGTAAAAAAGGCCCTGTGTTATGAGTTAACCTTCTGGCTATGTGTTGTACAGGTAACCAGTGTCAAAAACTGGTTTTAAGAATCCGTTTTTATTATGATGACATGGTGCATGTTCACAAATAAAGTTCTGTTTAAGTGAATTATCATAAACTAATTGACACCAATTAGCGTTTTTCCAGCGTCTAGTAGCACTGGTTGGTTTCTGGATGAATAATGAAGCCGTCATGTTGTCTTTCCTCTCTGACCCCGTCACAAGGTTTTCAGCAACGACACTAATCTGAAATAACCATGACAAAATCTCTCAGGAATAAACTCATGGAGATTTAATATTATGCATCAATAAACAGGAAAATCTGATACAATCAATGGTTATGATCAAAATGAAATAAAAAATACATTTTGATTGCTCTCTATCAGGCGATACTGAGTGATACTGAAATGTATGGCAAGGCCTCGATTCAATATAATTTACAAAGACATAACATGGAGGAAAAAAAAATTAAAAATTTCAAATTTAGCTTGGACACTGGATTTCATTTGGTTTCACTTAAACAGCATTTTGTATGCTTTTAGAGGAGGATTAAATTCAACACATTTTCCACTTGATCTGCATACAGCACCAGGAATATGTTTACCTTTATAGATTCCTTCACCAGATTCACTGATTTTAAGAGTCAGAGGTCTTGTAATCTTCATTTAAATCAACCATATTCATACAGGTCAAAAATCTAGAGCATACGATAATCAAATCTTTAATGTTGACAGATATAACAAGGGACTGCTGTGAGAGATATTCTCGGGCATTTTCAGGTGAAAATTGTTTTTTATTTCTGTATTTTATCCAAGTATCATTGCATTTAGATCCAACCTATGTAGCTGTAAATAAGAGAATGAATGATGATTCAATAAAGCAGAGGTGTACAGGAGGATAGATATTGCCCTCTATGTGGTTGTTATCTCAAAAAACATTGAACAAAAAATATAAGTTTACAAGAAAACTGATCCGGAAGAACACAGTCTGGACTCATAGCAGCTCTAAGAAACAGCAGCAGCGTTTCAAAAGTCTACTCTGGTTCCTCGATTTTTACTCTCCTCTCCCTCTGACAACACGTGAACCGTGAGGGTGATCCACTCTGACATCTTTGGGTTTGGAGAGGACACAGGGACAAAAAGGGAGACTAAACAGACTCGGTCCTAGCCTTACATCATGAACCAGCGAACCAGAAAGACAAAAATATGTAAACAATCATTTGTTCATAAATGCCTTCAGGTAACATGGACACATTTTCAGAGGACTGTTTGATCTCTGTCCAGATGAAAAGTCCCTTTAGCCTTATATCTAAACCTTTTTGGCATAATGGACACCCGAATTTGTCCTTTGACAGGCGATGTCAATGAGCTCTATATTGCATATATTCCACAAATCAGCGTGTTCAGATGCTATGGCTTAGGTAGGGCTTTGCTTCTGGGTAACACTTGAGACACAGAACAGTGTGAAGGACCACATAGGCGGCAAAGTTAACTCGAAATGGGAACATAACACCAAAAGGGTAAATGGAATGATTCCTAAAGATGTAAAGCCATCAAGTTCATATCTTCAAATATTTTACACTATTGCCAGAAAGAAAAAAAATAAACAAAAAGAGCATTGAAAATAAAAAAGAATATATATTTATATATCCATCATATGTATATCTATATATAAACAACAGTTACAACTAGTTGCAGGCAAGCGGAGAATTCCTCTCCCGCCCCTTTAAGATTAGTCCCTTCCACCGTTATAAGGCTGTCAGACTCTCGGAGGGGGCAGCAGCTTTCTTTCCTCAGTCACCAGATTCCCTGAGATGTAGAGCGCCATTTTATTTGTCAAGGTTTATTTGATTTGAACACCATCGACCACACACACTTTTGCCCCCCCTTCCCAAAAAACATCTGTGTAGGGAAACGAGTGGCTCGTCCTGTGGACCTGATGAGAGGTGTGGCCGTGAAGCTGACGGACAGAGCTGAGAGACGTGTCAACCCTCTGCGCTGCCAAGTCTCGTGTTGGCGGGTATCTGTGGCGGTGGAAGTGACATTGCCCAAATAAGGAGAGGAGCTTTACTAGTTTTCATGTTACATCTTAGATGCTTTTCCATTTGATTTCATTCATTTCCATATTGTTGTTTTACAGTCAAATGCAAAGCTGTGTACATATTCAATCATCAGTCATTCCAAGGCTTGGAAAAGAAGTGGTTTTGCAAAAGAGTTCTTATGAAGACTCTGTTGTGTGTGTGCATCTCTTTATGCATACGTATGGTGTGTGTTATCTGTGTGCGTAGTCTGCTCAGTGCCTCTGAGAGGCTAATCTCTTTAATAGAGGCTCGTCGTAGACCCAGCACTCCCCGTCCTCGTGGAATAGCTGCAGAAACACACAAACAATAATTATTACACTCAGATTTTTAAATGGATTGAAAACTAGAATTAGTGTCCTGCGGTTGTCTGCCTCCACAAACCAGTTAAACTGCAGTTTATAACTATGTCTGTCCAGACTCAAATGTGGCAATGACCGCAGACAATGCTTCAAATATGTTGCTGCAAAGAAGCTACACATTCTAAAACACGGATGCTTCACACATATGCTCGCCCCAGCAGCACAGAGGATCTATACAATCAGCACAGTTTCACGGTTGTCACCAAAGGTTAGTGTCACCAAGTCAGTATCTGACCACATGTCTCCCCTTCTGTTCCTGAGATATGGCGTTGAGTAATGGCCAGAAGTGTTTTTAAGAACATAATGTCACGGGGAAGCTGACCTTTGATGTTCTGGATATAAAATGTCACCGCTTCATCATTTTATCCTATTTGACATTTGTGAGAGAAATGTTGTCATGATTAGTGTATGAATGAAGTTATGGTCCAAAACATGTTGTGTGAGGTCACAGTGACCTTTGAGTGTCAAACATACAGTACTGGGCCAAAACCGGCCTGCCAAAGGGTCCAATCCAGCCCACGAGATGACCAGACTAAGAGGTGCCAGGTTTCAGGAGCAAGTTAAACAATGCCTCCTTCATTTGAAATTCTGCTTCAGAGGCTTTCCCACCCTGACCAGAATACAGCTCTCTGATATAACAATAAATACTTACTGTGGCCATGTTTAAATATTAAACATTGCGCAAAATACTGTCAGTCAGCAGCTTCAGTTCAAAACAATCTGTATCAGGAAATGTGTGAATAAATGCACATGTAATGACAGTGAGAAGTAGACTGACTGAATGTGAAAAAGCTTAGACATCCTGCTGAAATTGCACTTATTTTTCTTAAGACATCTCAGGTTGTTCATCAGTTTTGTAAAAAGACAACAATCTACAGACATTACTTGTAATTCTTTACACAAAATAAGGAAAATATTGGAGCTGATGGTACTTTTTGTGCAAAGGTTTTATTGGTCCGGCCCATCTGAGATCAAATTGGGCTGTATGTGATCCATGAACTAAAATGAGTTTGACACCCCTGATCTAATCAGTTCATCACTGAGTCCAAGAGGACAAACTCAAATTTGAGGAAACCCTCTTGGTGTGCTTGAGATACTGCATTCTTGAGAATGGAATGGATGAACGAACAGACAGACAACCCCTACTATCCCTGTACTATCACACAGTGTTCATGTTCTCTCTGGTCGATGAAAAGCAGTCTCACCCTGGTCTCCCACTGCTGCTCGTTCTCCTTCCTCTCTCTGGCTTCGGCTCTCTGTTTCTCCTCCAGCCGGTGTTTGGCATCTGTTGCTGCATCGATGTCTTTCAGCTTCAGGTTCAACGTCACGTCTCTCCACAATCTGGTGGTGAAAAGACAGTTTGTTTCTGAGTGAAGGCCTTTGTTCCTGGATCCTTCGTCCTGTGATATGCAAGAGTGCTCAGTGACCAGTTTCAGTTCTCACCTTCGGGACTCGTAGTCGAGCTGGTCTTCCAGCTTTCTCACTTTCTTCTTAATGATGCCTATCCTCTTAGTGTCTATGAACACTGTGTTCTCCTAGAAACACATATAAACACATTCATTCATGTGTTAATGTATTTATTTATTGCTGAACTCTTTCCTGACGTAGTTATTCTCCAATGAATGCCACATTTTGTTCTGGTTACACTAATAAATGATTACAAATGTAGGTAATTACTGTCTAATTTGATAAAAGGAAATGAAAAAAGAAATAAAGGAAATATAATAAAGGAAAGACTCACCCCAGTTGCCCACTTGGCGTACATCACTCCGTTCCATTCTCCTTCGATGGAGCAGAAAGACTTCTTATCATTTGGTGCACTGAAAGAGAAACAGAATTGTGGTATGTGTCATTAAAAGGTCAAACTCTTTTATCCATTATCAGTGATTTTAAATTGTATTTTATAAGTTTTCCTCTTACAAAATCTCAGCGGTGATCCTGTGCTTCTTTCCTCCGTAGAAGGGTTTGGTGTGGAACACGATGTTTGCACTGTAGCCCGACTTAGAGCAGGAGATGCTGCACTCCCCGCCCAGCTCCACCCACGGCACAGTCAGAATCGACCTGGACGGACAGGATCAGGTCAGTGACGCACATATTAATGACCACAGAGACGTAATGAAGTTTTGACATGGACAGACGCAGGAGTACAGTGACACCAACCTGCCATATCCGTTGGGGAAGGTAAGGATGTAGTGTTCATCGTGCTCCAAACACGACACACAACCTGAAACAAGACCGGCAAGTAATTATTACAACTTCATTAAGCTGTGACTGTGTAAAAATATATCATGGAGTGTGTGAGGCTGTTTAGTACCTTGGCCAATATTGTGGACACCTATGGACATGCCTAAGAACTTAGACTTAGTCCAGATGTGGGCGTTGAACTGAATCTTCCTATTTAAACACTCTGCGTAGAATGCAGAAACTGGGGAAGAGAGGAAATAGTCAAGAGATTGTGGAAAAGTGGCAACGTCTTAGTGATTGGTCAAAAAATGAAGCAAACAACCATTAAGTGTCTTAAAAAATACATTTTCAGGCCTAAGACATACTAATTCAACATTTGATCAACTTGCTTTATACATTTTTGGCCTCTAAAAGGTAATGATAGATAATCTACAAAAACAACAACAACAACAACAACAAAAAAAAACAGTGGCTGTTCGTCACTTTACAAAAGCAAACAGTGGTCATCACAGTTTTCTTGACACTACATGACACAAGGTTTTGTATTTGCTGTGTAAACACTCAGGAGAAGAAGGTGTGACACTCACTGGGTGGGTGGTGAGAGACCTGCTCTGCCACAAAACACACGCTGTTGGTTGACGACCACGGTACTGGACCCTCTGACACCGTCTCCTGGTGGGTGGAGGAGAGGAGAGGAGAGGAGAGGAGAGGAGAGGGAGTCAGATTACATTATTATTTATGTTACAAACATATAAAAGATTAAAGAATGTATTATTTTAGAAACTATCTAAACAAAGGTTTCCCAAACATTTTTACCAATGAATATTAAAAAACTTAAACATAATATTTTACTCCACTTCCATGACTTTATTTAAGTAGTTTAAATAGGTAGGTCTACATACATTATTAAACATGAACTTCTCAGACATTTGCAGATAAGCAAACTGCTTACATTTGCTAACTTTACTAGCTACATTTGCCACTCCCCTTTTGGGTGATAGAAAACTTGAGATCACAGAAACGCCAATGCAATTCGACATGTGTTTGGACAATATTTTGACAAGTTTGTAAGCATTTATTTCTTGTTAAACAAACATTTGTTTAATGGACATGTCTAATAATTGTTTTGCGACCTTGCCTAACCTGAGCGTGTGTGATACCTTAATAAATTAAGGTAAATAGCTGTTAGGTCCCATCAGCCTTCCCCCATCTAAGTGGATCAGTGACCCAACACAGTGGCTGGATATTATTATCAATCATGACACCTGTTGATTCAGTGATATATGTAAAGTTTATTGAATCACCAGGGGTCGTTAAGCTAAGTATTGTCTGTAAATGACCAACATGTTAACAGCCAACTGTTTGATCGAGGTGGAGATCTAGCTGGAGGCAAATATCTGATGCTGCTGTACTGTATGACTGTACTGCAGGAGCCTGCCACTCAAGCTAACGTGAGCTATCCATCAGTAGTAACTGTCTTCAGCATCATTTAGCGACCATTAAATCTCTAACAGTGAATATTCATGTATATTACGTGCCTCATATGTCAGTGTGGTCAACACGCTACACAACAGCTGTTTGGCATTATCCTGTTTCTCTCTTGTTGTAGCAGCATTACTTTCCCCCAAGAGGGAGGGTGGGAGACAGCTTTGGCAAAGACATGATCATGCAATCTGGTCTGGTCTATGTGTATCACATGATACTACTGACGGTTCAACGGTCACACAGCGCAGCACTACATGTTAAATTAGTAGGGGATTAATATTTAGTCTAGGATTTAGGGATTTTTATGAAAATATTTTAAACAATATCCGAAATAATGTACATTAAAAACTTTTAAACAGTTTTTCTACCTTTACATTTTCGTTAATTTCATGACAGTGGGAACTCTGTAAACAATATTGAAATGAAGGCTGTGGTGTGTGAAGAAAAAATGTAAAGAACAGAAAACCAGTTCTTATGCAAAAAGATCTTTTTCTTTCTTTTTTTTCCAATTTAGTGTTTGCAAAGGTGGCCCTACTTGCTATTCCAGTCAAGTTTATTTGTATAACCAAAAACACTGTCAATGATACGAAAAAGTTAGTACTTGTAACATTAATCTGAGGTGAAAAAAATTGAACACTACACCATAGTGGATTTTATTCTCGGCAAAGAAGCTTATTCACATGGTCCCAGAAGTAGACAGAAGCCAAATAGGGCCGCAGAAGCATGTGGACTCACCGTGTGTAGGGACGGCTCCTCTGATTCGCTGGGCAGATCCCAGTGGCAGTAGAAGACTTCTCCCAGGATTGGGTTGTAAGGTTTCTTGGCCACTGAACCTTTCCTCCCTGCATGGAACGCTGACAGGTACCACTTTACCACGTGAACCATGCGCTCCCGGGGCTCCGGCTGATCAGCGATACTAGTGGAAGTCACACAGATGAGTTTAACTACTTCATATTTTACCATTTATAGATTTTGGGTATATTTAAATGTGTGTGTGACACAACAGCTCGCACCAATGAGAGAGAGGACCCTTACCTTACAAATAAGTCGGGATGTGCAAAGAAGTCTGCGTACATTTCTAACAAAGATCTCCTCTCTAGGATGAAGGTAGGCAGCACCACCTGTTAAATATAACGAAGGAGAAAAACTGTAAAACTGTTGCTGCGTGGGCTGTTCAAACGAAACAGCCTGCACGGATAATGTTAGTGAGTAAAAGATAAAGGACCACTGCAGAGAGAGGAATGCAGACTGAACAAAGAGAGCATGGAGGGAGTCAGGCTCATAAATAGAAACGCTGGTCTCTACCTTTGTGAGGTCCATTCCCAATCGAACTTGGGAGAGAAGATGCATGATGACACTCTTGTGCTCCTCCACGGACTCGCCCTCGCCTTCATCATCGCGGTCGTCGTGACTGTCAAATGGGTCTGAAGACAACAGCAGGGGACAAATCTCACATGGCTGCTGTAACATTATGTTCCCTGCATTTTCATGTGTTAAACATCACTTATCTTGTAACATTTGACAAACAAATGTTGTTAATACTTTAAACTAACTGGGTGGTGTAATATAAATAGATTTAACAGCTGTCATCTCCTGCTTCACCAAATGAGAGCTGCAGTTTAGTTTTTAATACATTAAGAGGCTTAAAAACAGTTGGGGAAAATTATTGTAATATATTTGTGTGTCTTGTGTGGTTTCCTTTCTTACCTGCATCTGTGGTGCCGTTGGACATGGAAGAGTTGAGGGACTCGGTGGTGTCTGGTCGTTTCAACGCTGTCGCTTCATTAGTGAGGGGCGAGGCAGCTTGAGGCCCTGAGGGACTGAGGAGGAGATAGAGGGAGTGGAAAGGAGGCAGGAAGCAGGAGAGATAAGGAAATAATGAGTGAGCAGGATTTCACTGGCAGTTTTGTTGCAAACTTCTCTGACTTTATTTGCAGTGAACTGCATTTTTGCAGCTGACCTGTTAAACACTATAATGACAGTGTTGTTTTAAGCTGTAGCCCAGTTTCCACTAAGCAGTACAGTACAGTTCAGTTCATGATGCTTTTTTCCTGTTTCCACTGTAAAGAGTTGTGGATGATACCAATGGAACTGTTCCGTACCGTCCCCATTTTTGGTCACCCTTCTGTTGGGGTACCTAGCACACAGATCTGGTACAAAAAAAAAAAAAAAAAAAGTGTTGCGGAGCGTCGTTCCTGTGGGTTCCAGTAACACTAAACCCCTGAGCTTGCCTGAGAAGGACTAAATGCACAAACCTGCTATTTTTAAATATCCCATGGAGAGAGACTCTCACTGCAGCCTGTTTTATTTTGTTCTGAAAATGTTGACGTGCAGCCTCATTCTATGGACGATAAAAGAGGTACAGACTTCTGTCTGTGTCACTGGTGATAAGGAAATACAGTGAGTGCTGGACAGAGCAGTGAATGACAACAACCCCGCCCACATGAAAGAGTACGTTTGCGGTGGAAACGCTAGGGTCTAGGTACCATGTCTGAAGGGCTATTTTTGGTTCCAAAGGTACCATACCAAAAGTGCAATAGATTCACTGTCTGCAGTGCTGGCTGCAGCAAGGTGGCGTGATACTATACTCACTCTATGCAGTGTTTGGGGGAAGTGCTGCTCTGGTAGAACTCATCAGCATCATAGAACTCATCCTCGCTGGAGGAGTAGGAGAAGTCTGGCACCGAGTGCGAGGGGAGGGGGATGTGAGCAGGAGAGGCGACGCTGCTGCTGGGGCCTGACGGGCCACTCCCTAACAGAGGAAAAAAAAAACAAGCAAACATTGAGTGACATGTCAGTGCTCTCTTGCAGCATTTTTATTTTATGGATTTAATTAATAAGGCTTCTTTAGACATACAGCATACAGGTCATGGTCACATCTACATTATGTTGTTCATCTAAAGCACTCATTTCTGAGCGTGGTCCAGCTGGCTGTGTACAGTAACATTAAGCTGTCTTTAACATAGTGACAGCTTCCTCTGCAGAGCATATTGATAGTGCTCTCAAGCATGCAGCCTGCCTCCTTAGTGCACAGCGCAGCATTTTAATACTGCAGCCTCAGCACAGAAGACAAACAGGCATGAACCCTGTGCTTTCCTGTGCTTTTACACTTGTCTTTTTAATTTACGACTTTCGTGGAGACAGCACTCCGACTTGAAGAAGTACAGTAATACATTATGTAATTGTTCATTTGGCTCTGGTGGTTGAGTCCTTTTTACATTAACCAACATTCATGTTGCCTGCGAATTAAAGGATCTAACAAGAAATGATTCTGACAAGGATCCACACTGTTCTCCAAATTATGGTGCAATCAAACATTGTTACTGTTGAAACTGCTGATTTTTCCCAGGGAATGAGCAATACAGGATATTGCCATGTAAGAATTTAAAATAAGTAGTTGTTTTTTTGAAGTAGAGCTGCAACAATAAATTGATTCATCAATTAGCTGTCAATTATTTAATCAACTGTCAACCAATTAACCAGTTTGAGTAATAAAAAAAAAAGTCATCCTCTGATTCTTCTTCTTCTTAAATTAAATATTTTTAATTTTCTAATAATAAAATACCATATTTTCTGATTTCTTTACTCCTCTACGAAAAGGAAAATAACAGAATATCTTTGGGTTGTGGACAAAACAAGAAATTTGAGGACTTAATTTTGGGCTTCAGGAAACACTGATTGTGATTTTTCATCATTTTCTGACATTTTATAGACCAAATATCTAATCACTTAATTGAAAATCAGACAGATTAATTGACAATGAAAGAAATCGCTACCTGCAGCCTTATTTTAAAGTTAATTTTCAACTTGGAAACAGAAGCAGAAACAATCTCACCTGCTTGTGAAGCTCATGTGATATAATCAAAGGCTCGAGAACAGGACCTTGAGGTAATTTGTTTTTGTCAGCTGCTGTTTCCAAGGTCAATAGTGAACTTTGAACCTTAACACTTAAGTCAACATGGTTGCAAAGTCCTTTAAGTGCTAAGAAAAAATGGAAAACTGAACATCTACAAGTCCATTAAAACTCTGTTAATGAAGATAATCTGATATTACTGAAAACACCAGACCAGCTAATAAATAAACGAACCTTGAGTTGGGATTGTTCTGTTTGGTAACTATAATAAATATGCCACCAAAAGCCGTACCAAAGCACCAAACCAGGAACACAACTGTAGCTCCTAATATGTCAATGTATGATTTATATTAATAACTGCATCAACAAATTATCTTTTTTTATCATAGTGGCATAACCCCTGATTCTGTGATATAAGTGAAGTGAAGTTTCACCTGTGCTGTTGGGAGTTGGGGTCTGCAGACTGCCCATCACTGTGACGACGGGACCAACAGGTAACGTGGAGGGTCGTTGGTCTGATTTACACACCTGAGAAGCGTCTTTACCAAAAAGAGAAAGTCGATGCTTTAGCACTGACGCCTCAAAGATAAAGCCAAATGACATTAAAAACAGCAGCCCGAAATCCAGGAGGCTGAGGAAATTATCTGAGACGCTGCAGACAGAAGCTTCAGCTGTGAGGGGGATTACACAGTCTATTAAGAGACTGAAATTAGAATGGCCTACTTTGCATGGTTCATTTTCACAGCAGTCTAGTCATAGTCATCTGACCAAAATAGCCCAAAATGTTAGTCAGAGCTTAGTCATGCCATGCAAATCAATGTTGTCATTTATTTATTGACTGAAATTAATTGACCTAAAATATAGTGACACTGAAGGACAGCAATCTGCTTCAAAACAGATTAATGAATTAATTTTCAGAGAGAATTATGTCTGAAAAGTGAAACATAATTAATCACATTAATGTGTAACCAGCGTCGGGAAACCTACTTTAAAGCATCATATACTTCATAGTGGTCAACGCTGAAGTGCAGCAAAGCTACCCTACAGAGAAATCTAGAATGTTTAACTAAAGCTACTTGGAAAAGTAGCTTAAACTACTTTGTGAAAATGATCAAATTGACAATGTGCATGTGATACGAAATCATAGTTATTATATAATTAACAAAATATAGTACAAACAAGTTACATGCCAGCAAAAAATGCCACTCAAGTGCTCACTTTTTCACAGGTCATTCTTAAACTAAAATAATGAAGCACCCCACAATTCATGGGAAAGTGCAAGAGTGTCAGTTTTGGTTTTATGTGGGGGTACTGCACCAAACATGATCAGTTAGCCAGGTAACTTCAAAATTAGCATGCAACATCTGTTAATAGATAACAATAAACACAGCAGGGGGGTTCAATTACAGTAGAGAATGAATGGTAAAATAAAATAAAACTATAATTCCTATTTATGGCCCAAAATTAAATGCAGATTCAGTAGTTAACTACACAAATGATTCTTGAATTAATATGGAAATATGAATGTAGATCAACTTCAAGCAAACTACTGCAAAGCATAGTTAAACTACCAGTTTAATTACATGTCTACTAACACTGGTAATAACCATGGATATCATGCAGCTGGACTCTGCTGTAGATCCTCAACAGTCAGAAAAAATGAATTGTCCATTTACCTTCAAACAACGAAGGAACATTTTGTACATTAATCACGAACCCTGAATGATATCAATGTTGGCCGACTAGAACTTGCTCCCAGTTTTAAGCTACTGTCTTAAACACCACAGTGAAACATTGGAATTTTAAAATGCGACAGAGTACTGACTCATTATATTCTTTGTTCTTTGATAAAATTGTAAAAAAAAAAAAATAAATACATGTCAGCAAGCACTTTTGACTACACGTGTTTAACGCTGTGGCTCCATCAGCTGAAGGAGGTTAAGGTGTGAACAATAGGGGGAGCTGTTGTCAACCTCCCTGGATGATGTTCGGTCTGTGAAGTCTATGACTATGCGAGTGTTGACACATGAAGCACATAACCACAGGTGTCTGAATTTGTACAAGAAACGTCGAGAAAGCAGTCGTCTAGTACCTGTGGGTAGTGTGGTCTGTGTTGGCATCGTGGTGTTGACTACAGGAGTGTCCAGAGGAGGTTGGTAGATCCCATCCACTGGGTTTATGGTGCTCTGGAGGAAACAAAAACAACATTGCCATCAACAACAAAAAAAGCAACACTACATCAGACACTTGCTGCAACAATAGCACACCCACGCCACTGCCTGCTTACTAATCTAAAATGTTGCCTAACAGACAACAACCCTTGAGATTAAAATCCAATACTGCAAAAGAGAGCACAGTTCTGGCTACAGGAAACCTCAACTTATTTTGTAATATCCTGGAACACAACTAACCTATTTTAACATCTATAACAAAATGTACCTACATTCTCACCACAATGAAACCATTTCCTTTAACAATCAAGCCAGAGGTCAATGTAAGCTCTCACCTTCCACTGGACACCAACTTTACAAATTGTGTATTGGTTATATATCAGCTTAATGGTATACCTCCACCACGACAGAAGCAGTGACATAAAATACCCACCACCCAGCCTGGCGGATCAATTTCCTCTCACTTCATTTCCTGGAAAGAGAGTTTCCAGGTTTCATTATTCTGATCAATATGAAACCAACGACACTGCTTCAAACACCAGCAGTGGCTTCTTATGTTATGCTGTATATAGACCCCAGGAAGAGTAGCTGCTACCTTAGTGGCAGCTAATGGGGACCCAAATAAAGAATAAAGTTTTACCCAATAACCAACGGTGCCTCTGGACCTCTGAGCAACCTTCCAGTCTAAAAAGGAGTTAATTAACTCCACTGGGCTGCAGACTAAATCTGTAACATGTTTTAACTGTCTGGCTCTTAATTTCCCTGTGGTCAGAACCAGTTACCTGCAGTGGCCTGCCCTCATCAGTGACACCTCAACATCATGTGTCCATGCATTTGAATACAGGCACAAACATACACATAAAAAGCAGCCAGTTGGCTCATTGCAATGAGGTCACTGGCACCAACGACCCAACTGATAGGAACACTGATGACAACACGAGCTAAAGCAAAACCGTATCGACCCCTCCTTCCCAAACAACTTACCCTCAGGGCTCTGGGTGGCACTAAAATTAGATCCGGTCAATGTGATGTGTATCCTGTTACTCAATCTTGACCTGTAACGTGTGATTTTTTTTTAAAGAGATTTTTTCTCAGGAAGTTTTGATTAAGTCATTTGAGATCAACAGGAACAGGCCCGCTGAGTCATAACATGAGAACAGTAAAGTAAATGGTGTAAGTACCACAGTTGGGCTAGAATACCAGGAAGTAGACAACAGGCCTCCACAATCCCATGATGCAACACTGAGCATGTTACATAGAAGATACTGACTTCTAAGGAAGAAGAGCTGTGGTGTGAAGTCATGGTTGTTTTTCTTAAATGGGAATTCTCCAATAAATGCTGCCATAAGTGCAGTCAAGTCACTGTTTTGCAAGTCACGAGTAAGTCTCAAGTCTTGGCACTAAGTCCCAAATCAAGACAAGCACGTCTTGGGTCAAATCGCAAGACAAGGCTGACAAGTTCTTGGTCGAGCCCCGAGTCTGAAACGTTGAGTTTCGCGTCCTAAACAAATCACAATGTGTTCTTACCCAAATGTAACACTGTTTCAACAACACAGTAATCATAAATTACATTGAAACAAATCTTGAATGCTTTTTAAAAATATTGGTATTTATTAGTTTTGTTGATCACAGCATAGTTTTTGTGTGCCAACAAAATTATCTTTGGTATATTTTTTTCCAACTGGCCCTCAGTAACGTAACATTAACTCTTCCTGGTTCTCCAAACTTGATTGGACGCTGTAAAATTGATTCACACAAAGTGGATCTTGTGAGTTGGAAGTGTGACTTGCTGGGAATGAATGGTGTAATGATAGCTGATTCAGGAAATGGAGGTAAATGAGTTGATTCATGGTGCACTTTTTAAATAAAATATGCTTTAATTTTTGGCCTGGGGGAAGGTATCAAGTATTTTCAAGTCAAAAGGCTCAAGCTCAAGTGAAGTCACAAGTCACTGGTGATGAAGTTGAAGTTGAATTTTTTTGATTTTGTCATGTCTAAAGTCATCAAATGTGTGACTCGAGTCCACACTTCTGAATACTACCCTATGGACCTCCAAATTACTCTCTGATCTTGCTTTTCTTTGTGTCTAAATATGTCCCACCAGACATTTTAATGGCAACAAAAGGCAAGTTATGATCAGAAGAAGACAATGTCATGAAAAGCTTGGTGTGACATCTCTCTCAACTCCTCTCTGTTATCTTCAAGCTTCCTACCTCTGCTCCCTCCTTTCTACCTCCCCTCTGCACTGCCCGACGCACGCCTAGTCCACGTGTCTCCATGAAAGTAAGGCGAAGGCTACTAATTATAGCCAATTACAGAAATATTGGTCGGTCATGGTGGGACCAGCTCGTGGCTTTGCAAGCAGGACTTGAAGCAAAAGCAAAGAGAGAAAGAGTTACAGCTAAAAATGACTTTAAGCACCGTCATGATCGATATATAAATATATATTTTCCTCAGTGAATGTAATATTAATGCAGCAGGAAGCTCGAGCAGCAGAGAAAACCTAAACCAATCACAGCACATCAATTATTTTGATAGATAAAATGCTGAACAGGCTTCTGGTGTGCTTGGTTTAAAAGATTCCTGCACTTTACGGCTATTCCCCTGGTGCAGCAGTGCTAGACAAGGTCAATCAGACATGCTGCTAGTGTTTCAAGCTTTTTAAACGAAGGTCTACAGTGCACTTACTATTTACTCACATTATAGGCGTATGGGCAACGTGACAGACGGTTAGACGTTCTGCAAAGATATCTTTAGCACAAAGCTTAGTATGGCATAAAAAATGTGCAGTTGGGCATATAGACGGAGCTTATGCTATTTATACTATGTAATACTGTACTTAATGACTGTGAGATTAAGTCAGCTATGAGAGCAGTGCAGGCGTACGAGCCCCTGTGAGATTCCTGCTTTGAGGACCACACTGGGATTTTTCCTTGTGTTAGTTCATTACCTACAAACCGTTCACATCACATTACCGACCATTTCCAAAGCATACCACAAGCTTTTAGGTAGATTTTAAACCTTACAGCTACCCACTGAGTTTTGTTCATTCATAGGGTGGGCTAAGCTCTTGGTAAATTTAATTTGGAGTTAAGTCCTCACTTTTTTTCCTCCCTCTTTCCTTTCTATCTGACCACCTCTGCAACCTCTGTTTTTTATTGTACAAAAACTTCACACAGATATGAATCCCATCACATTGAAGGGACAGGGCTGGGTATTGGTAAGCAATACCTTTAAAGTATTGACCAAAATAACCAAGTAGTATCGAAACTTCTCCAGTCAAACATTACCTGCATTTGCTCCTTTTGGCACCTAGAGTCTGATCCTGATCCGCCCCGACTTCCTACCAATGAGCAAACTTTCTGTTGCTGCCTTCTCCGGTAAGCAGTCAGTTTAATGTCTACTTGGTTAGCATAAGCTCACACAGCAGCAGCAGCTAACATCCAACACTAAACAGTTAAACCATCTCAACAAACTCACACCATGACCAAAACGGTTCAAAAGAACAGATAAATCCTTGTAACTGGGTTACAGCATATCACGAAGCATATACTGCCATCCACTGGTGACCTGTCTCAACATATAAAGCCTGTTGCAAGAAATCTTGGCGTCATGTTTGATAGTTATTTATGTTTTGAACATGTCACTTAACTCGTCCAATCATGCTTTTATCACCTCAGAAATATTGCTAAAATAAGACCTATTCTACCTTTTAGAGATACAGAAACAATTTCACATGCTTTTATCTCTTCACGTCTTGATTATTGCAACAGTCTTTATTCCTGTCTTAATCAAAAAACCAAGCACGACCACATCACACCAGTTTTAGGCTCTTTACATTGGCTCCCTGTTTGTTTTAGGATTGACTTTAAAATCTTACTTTTAAGGCTCTTCCTGGCCTGGCCCCAAATTACATTTCAGACCTGTCAGTCCCTTATGAACCTTCACGTAGTTTGAGATCCTCGGCCAGAGGTCTTCTGCTTGTCCCAGAGTTCAGTGTCCAGTGTTTAGTTTTATTATACGGCACTTTGTAACTGTGTTTTGAAAGGCGCTGTATAAATAAAGTTTATTATTCGACTATGTTGTTAGATAACCTGTACGATAATGTTAGCCATTAGATGCTAACAGTTAGCCCTGTCACTAAGTGTGTGTGCAGGTGGAATCTCACCAACTGTCTCCAGCGCAGAGCTAACACTCCCTCAGCAGCAGCTTCAAGCAATTACAGTCTGTGTTGTGGTGAGGTCCAGTGCAGTCTATTGATAGAGTTGTTATATCGTAGGCGACTGGAATTGCTTGAGTTATTGAAGATGTTTCACCTCTCATCCAAGAAGCTTCTTTAGATCCAACTTAGACTTTACTTTTCAACGTCTTCAAGAAACTCATGCAAGTCCAGTTGCCTGCGATGAAGCACTTAGAATTACCATGACCTGGATAATTTTGAATCTTATCCTCACCAACATATTGATAGAGTTGGCAGTTCACGTGCCAGGACGTCACCAAAACGTTCCACAGTATGGCTATACCACACTCCACTCCACTCCATTTACATTATGGGTGGCAAGACCATCATCACTGTAATATACTGAAAAAATACATATAATTTCCTCAGTTTTGTTAACTTTATTTTAATATAGTACCAAAAGCCAGAAAGACAGCCTTCATTCTGGTTTCTTGGTTAGAGTGGAATTCCATACCCACAAACATTAGAGACTCAGGAAGCTTTGCAGTGTTTAAAACCAGCCTCAAGCTTTGGCTAAAGTCAGCACAAAAATGTTATCACAAATTATTGCCCTGTATTTATTATACTGATACTATTTATCTCACACTGATGGACTGTTATGTATTGTGTATTGTCTTTCTGCTGCTCTGTGTTGTTTCTATTGTGGACCTGCCCTGGGACAACAGATGCAAATTAGCTGCAATTACTTTAAATTGTGCTTACTTTTAATTGTCCCGGAAAATAAACAGTCGAATAGTCGTTAGACTGCACGGCATTACCACTGCGAGCCAGGACTCTTTGGAAAATTTTCCTTGGTGACAGCATTCAAAGAGCTGTGCTGTCTGGAAATCAAACCCGCAAGTCAAAAGTTGATGGATAATGTATGCTTGGTGGTTGTTTGTTCTACTCACTGACAAAGTTTGCTGTTTGGCAGCCCACTCTCGAATCACAGAGGTCAGAGTGTTATTTAGAAGTAAAGAAGACTACAGTGTTTACTGTGATGGACTGTCAATCTAATGCATGCTTCAATTCACATACTAAAAGGAATGGAAACCAGTTGCTCCCAGAAATCAATCTAAATACTTAAAATGAATGCTTTGGAAAAGAACTCCGTAATTTAGTGCCAGTGATTTGTAGTAAAAACATGCAAAACACCCAGTGTGGCCCCTGACATGAAGCCAGGGCTCGATGGTTCAATAAGCAGGCAGTGTGTACATGTTAAATCAATAGTGAATTGGTGGACTCTAATTAGTGGGTGCAGTGAAGTGCAACATTCTCTTTTACACAGGCATGCATATACACATGTGCAGTCTATGTACACATACATATTCTGCAACAATGTGCATTTTCTGCATTTAAAGTTTGCACACATATTAACACTTTGTACACTGATGAAGAAAAGAATAGTTCCCCAACCATTGCTAGAAGAAATCTCAGATGAAATCAGAAAGTTCTTAACTAAATCAGCAGGATAGTGGTGGAAGACATGAGGGAAAGAGTCTGAGATAGAGCGTATCTCCAAATTAGCTGGCATGCACTACAGAGATCTGATTTATCTGATTTTCTACAGTGGAGAGTGAATTAAGCAAGAAAAGAAAGTTAACAGTTTGTTTGATTTAAATTCTTGTCATGGACAGAGAATGTCAAACTTACTATAAGTCCGTTTGCGTGTTGCTGTTCGTTACTTTGGTCCTTAAAATTTTGAGAAGACAATGTTAGACTACTTGTATAGGAAGGTTGAAGAGTCATTTCATAAAGCATCCTGAGCATCTGCCGTGTAGAGAGCAATGAGATCCATCCCTCTCATCACATGGAGCTTCATAATATTCACCAACTTGCCACATGCAGTATTCCTTTCATCACATGGTTAAAATCCTCCATCATTTCTTTTCCCATCAATAAGGACAGGGTTTCTCTATCATGTCAATCTGTAATCTACAAGTTTCTTACAAGTTATTCATCATGAGTAAAAGATTTCTGGGTGTTAAAAAAAGTTTCAACTGTCACCTTACAACCACATGAAGCAGAAACAAGTGCTCTACTTCCTTTCAGAGGGCTGAATGGAACATGTGATGAAACGAGTACTGGGCTACACCCTCATCAACCACCGACCCAGATAGCAGGGAACTACCCCAGAGACACATGTAAGGTAACACACAGTGCACACTGATGCAGTCTCACAAGGACAATGACTGGTGAAGTAGCAGGCCAAACTATGGAGAGACGAATTGTGTTTACCTTGGCGATTTGCAGCAGTACAATACAGTGCTTGATGGACTCTACCATGCTCTGAAAGAAAAAAAACAGAAAAGGAATTCAGTAACTAGGAACTAGCTTGTAAACTCAACGGCAGGAAGGAAAGTGTCTTAAGTCCTGACTTACACAAGTAGTCTCCTTCAAATTTTCGATTTTCTGCAAAAAGAAAAGACAACCGTCTGTAAAACCAGTCATTTAAAAAAAAAACTTGTGCAATGTTAAAAAACAGAAGCTGATGCAACCAGTTTGACAGCAAACAAAGCACAACACTGAGGTCACGATTCTAACTTACAACAGCAACTTTTTGGTTCTTTGGAAATCTACAAGACCGTTTGCCATACTTCAGAGACTGGTGGAGTCTCAGTGACAGACAAGTCAAAGTGACCAAGCGTTAATCTAAGGGAGGAAGTGAATCACACAGCTGCTGGGAAAAAAACACATATGCTCTGAAACTGAACTGCTTCCTCCAATACCTCTAATAGATAACTGTCCCTCAATGGCATATGTTTTAACTTTAATACACAAGCATGGTCTCTTGTTCATCAGCTACCATGCAAACCCTCAATGTTCCATATTTAGCTGAAGAGCTAACTGTGCCAGTCTGTTACAGCTGCAACTCAAAAATATGATAACAGTGATCGTAATAACTAAGAAACAAAAATTGTGAGCTGTTTACATGTTAAATTTTGAGTAAATCTTTGAGTTATGGAGAAGGGCCATGACAATGAAAGTGTATACCACTACTTATTTATGTTGTTTATGAGAAGTTGTATACTGAGAATATGCTTTAGGATTACCGTTCATTTTATGTTGTGTTTCCCACATTGGAAATGCATCAAAACAAATCAAATATTAGTTAATCAAAAGACAAGTAATCAGCAACTATTCATATTATCTACAGGTTACTTAAGTCATTTTTTAAGTAAAAATTGTCAACCTGTTCTGGTTCTTGCATCTCAAATGTGAGGATTTTCTGCTTTTATGCTTTATGTTATTGTAAATCAAATATCTTTGGGTTTGAGACAGTTGATGAGACAAAACCAAGCCATCATATTTGGGTTATGGGGAATTATAATGGGCATTTTCACAATTTTGGGACATTAAGCAGAAGAAAAGGATTAATCAGTAATGAAGATAAGCCTCAGTTTCAACTGTTTTAATCTGTTTTGCTAGCCTTTCAAATAAAAAGCCACAATTTAATTACTTTCTTAATACAAATGATGAGAAACAGGTTGTAATGTATAGTCATTTTTAAACCACTGCAATATATTCTGACAGTTTAAACCTGATAAGCGACACATATCAAATGTCTGCTTCACACTGACAGCCATCATTTTTCATTCCCCGGTGCTATACGTGAGCCTGCATCTCCTGCTGTTAGCCTCGGCACTAATGACAGCGAGAACAACGGACCAGAGAGCAGAGACATGAGGACAGACTAGCACTGCTGGTACTTACTCTGCGTGATTCATCCTCTTTGCAGTCCTTGATCTTCTCATCAAACAGCTGTGTGAGGTTGACAGAGAACAAGAGATGAAAAGGGCTAAACGGGAGATGGAACATGAGCTCTGATGGGTACACAGTCAAATGAGTAATGTGATTATAAGAAGGTGACTGTAAGGGTGTTGTGGCTTGAGATATTGTGGTGACGAGTAGCAAGCTCTTCTCTTACGCGTAGTGTTTTCATTAAGATTTTCTGCCTGTGAGAAGATGCTACCGCTTCTTTAAAAACATGATTCTCTGCTTTATCACCATGCTACCACAAATCTTACTATAACTTCTGCTTTGGTAAAGAAGAGTGAGGTCAGCAAGGAAATGCAAAATAAAAGGAGGGTAATGACGCAGATTCAAATGCAAGTCATGCCGTTTATGTATATGATGTATTTACAGATATAGGGTCAATTTTGGGTTGCAATATGGAATAAACAGTGTTACTTTTGAAGACAGTTATGCAATACTTTACTTAATTACTCCCTGTAGAAAATAGCTTGTTATACTAACCATTACATTACTTGTGCGTTTACTCCATAACATTGACTGAGGCGCAGTCACAGGTTTGCAAGTTAACACCAATACATTGATTAGCTTACATATGCTCACATATGGGCACACAACAAGGACAAGGAGAATCAAAAAGGCACTGAAGTTGACAACAACTGCCTCAAAATAAAACTATATCAATACATAAATGAGGTTTACCTTCTTATACTGCATAGCACAAATATTAACTGCCTCAAAATAATAGGCACCCATGAAATAATATAAAAGACTGGCCTTCCTAACACCATTAAATGATGACAGGCTTAAAAGGAAATAACATGTTGCTTGGGATATGAACTATATTTAGCAGGCCAACACATTTAAACAAACACACTTGAGTCACACACTCACCAAACCATAGCTTTATAGTAAACTGGTCGTGTTTATTGTGAAAACAGTAGTTACACCTCGTGAGTAGGAGATCCTTAAACTGTTTATCAGACAAACTGATCCTTCTCAGAGTCAGCACAGGACTGCCCAGGATAAAGAGCCTCTGCACGGGCACACTGGACCTCATCACTTCTGTCTGCATGTTTATTTATTTTTTTGCTATCTGCCCATTATGCAGATAATTGTTACTGTGTGTGTTGTTACACTCAACACTGGCAATACATTATTTGATCTATGTGGAAACTCTTCTAAATAGACTATATTACCTATTAATGTCCAACAATATATGCCAAAGTGAGTGTCAGATATCCTACATTTCTCAAACCTACATGAAAGATGAAATGATGATGTCAGTTTGGTGTTGCTCTGTGGAGTCCTACCTTTAACTGGTCAATCAGAATCTGCAGGTAGGCATCAGCTTCAGCTAGCTTCTTATCAAAGTCTTGAACACTAGGAACAAATCCTGTCTCGGCCTCCTGAGGATGGAGACAAGCACAGTGAAGCATTACAGTGCAGCCACAAACCAAATCTGTGTCAAACGCCATGCTGGTATTTGCATATTCAAAGTAAAATACACAGCCACACTACCAATAATATAAGCAACAGATTTACTTTTTATCCATTCATAAAAAAAAAGCTTGTCTGTGTCACCTCCTGGCCAGGTAGGCTTTGTAAGCTGTTGCACAAAATGGTGGACAGAAACATCAACAGTTCAGGAGAATCTTCCAGCAGCGTACTGTACTGGGGGAGATATGAATACTATTGTTTAAAGGCTAGCCAGCATAAAAGGCCAGCAGGTCTGTCTGCCTGCCTGACTGACTGGACGCCAGCGAATTTCAGGCTTCAACAAAACTGAATCAAGGAACTCGTGGCTGGAGGGAATTTAGTTACCGACACAGAAGCATGTGTGTAAATGGGTTGAAGTGCACTCAAATTCATTGTTTGTTAATTAGCCTGCCTTAATAGGCACATCAGAATCAGAAACACAGTCTCCACACACACACATACAGAGACATAGGCACAGACAATTTCATTACATAATATCCATTAAAAGGTAATTACTAGACTATTGGCAGGACAGACGTGACCAGGCATCTGTCTCTATCTGTCTGAGCTCAACCAACCAAGAACAATCCAGCTGGCTGTGCCACAAAACCAGAGACAGGAAAATGAGCAGATAAATGTACGCACAGACGAGATGTCCTTCAAAAAAAAAAAAACAAACTGCTGGATTCTGTCAACTGCAAGGACACTCTGCAGCAATGCCAACACAATAACACCTCTATGCCACACCAGACGAGTCAGTAAGATAACTAACACAGTGTGTCAGCAGTTACTCCACACAGAACAACACCTCTTGCATGAAAAAGCAGAGCAAGTAATAGTAAAGCTGATGATGACTGTTAGAGTCAGACAGAAGTCATGTTAGTAAATCAAGCTCGTATCAAACCATGCTGGGCGCTACCGCTGCTTTGGACTCGCCGAGTTGCAGAGTCCTGGTGTGTCCTGTGTGCGTGGCGGCTTTTCTGCGTGTTACAGACGACCTCACAGGAAAGTGAAGAAAAGCCATCAACAGCAAAATGCTTTTAGCAGCCTGAGAGCCGCTGCAGTTTTAACGGTAAAGACATACTTTAAAGAGAACGAAATGTTAACTCTGCAGTCATGAAGTCTGCAGTCAACAAGCCTCACTTCCTCAAAGGATCAAAGGTTGCTTCAGTGTCAGTGTGACTGCAGAATATAGCTGGCCACATGAGGGCCTGAGCAAAAATGCAAACCAAAACAACTCTGCTGCAGATGTGAATGTCTATATACTGCATCAGTGTGTGGACACAGGTGCATGGATTGGCATTCCAGTGCGAGCAACCCCTCCTCTGTCTGCTTGCTTACACTACACTGGAAAAATCACTCCAGTTTATCAGGAAAACAGCTGCCACCTATATGGGAAGGCATTACATCATCATCATTTCTACCCCAAGCTGCTGACAAAACTACACAGAATTCAGAGCAATGTCAAAACCTGTACAGGTTCTTGTGTAAATACAGGGAGTGGACTACCTTTGCGAATCCTGTAATCTAGTAATGTGAAGTGTTGCCATTCATTTTGGCATCCCTCCTCTATTTACAGTGAGGATTAACTCCATCCACTCTGACATTATAGTATTTACAAAATAACAAACACATTACAACTAGGGATTTTCCTAACGACTAGTTTCCCAGACATTTAAACAGAAGTTTGATTTAGACTAGCCGACTAGTCTGAAAGTAAAAAAACATTTAGAAGACAGACATAATTAAGCTAAATATAATATGTAAGGTTAAACATTGTCCAGAAAATGACTGTGTGTGTCATAAGAGCCATTACAAATCTTTAATCACATTTTTTAATCACCAAATCGTATTTTAAAAGCCACTAAATAAATCAAATTACTGCCAAACCGCACTGGTTTTACGAGATTTCGTCTTTGTCCTACTTACCACTTCACTTCTTGTGGGACAGGGTGAAGCGACCAATGTGTTTTTTCGTCTTTCCCTCATTTCTTTTAATCTGCTGCTGTTAGCATTAGCAGCTAACAGATACTTGTTTTTTTATAAACCAACTCTTGACTAGGAATATATGACATTTCAGTGCAAATTATGTCAATATGTCATTTAAATGTGCACATCAACAAACACAATAAATCATAAGTGTAACTAAGTTTGACTGTATACTATTTTTGGTGCCAGCTAGCAATGGTAGCAATCAACTAGTCGACAAATTGTCCGACTTAAAACAATAGCATACAACCACAATTCAATGTAAATAGAGTTCAATATAAACCTTACATGTATCTGAAAGGTACAATTCACCACAGGGCTTCTACATTAGACAGCATTTAAGTGTACAGGTGTTGTACCATACACTACAACTGGTCATGTTTGCATTATAGGCCTAAATCCTTGTAAAAAGAAACTCAATAGGATCAGGGAAATAAACCATACATGGTGAAAACAAACAAAAAATAAGACAGAGCCCCTATCATTACCTAGTTAATATCTCATGTTCTGTCAACACAAACGATGGAGGGGAAGTGTTCCTTTTTTTTTTTAACAGAGTATGGAAGCGGACAGTCAGAGGCAGGTGGTCGGTTTATCAACAGCCACCGGACAACCACGTCACAGTGCTCACTTCTCCACTGTTCCCGAAATCTTCCCAGACGTCTGCACCTCCACTCCCACTCATTCCTAACGCACACACGCCGTGCATCCTGTCTGTGTGACTGTGACATAGTGGGAATATTTTAGAGCAGCCCGCAAAGTCTCACACATAAACACACACACACACAAACCCACCCTACTACCCCAGACTCTACAAACAACACCCTCACACCCTCCCCTCCTTTCTGTTTCTGTTTGTCTTTCCACGCAGTGTGACCCACTTTAAAATGCTGCTGTCCCGGCAGCGCACTGCAGCCGTTAAAGTTCTCCTTGCTCTGGTGCAGTGGCGTTTGTGTTTTTGTGTGTGTGTGTGTGTGTGTGTGTGTGTGTGTGTGTGTGTGTGTGTTTTACTTACTGGGTGCCTCGCTCCAATGGACATGCTGCGTTAAACCTTGGACATCTCCCCCATCAGGCCATTAAGCCTGACACAAGATCGTTTTCTCTTTCTCTGCCTCCGTTATTCTGTTTTTCCTCTCCCTACAGCAGCAAAACCACCAGCTCTGGTGAAGTTAGCGTTCTTTCTTTCTCCCTCCTCCCTCCTCCCTCCTCCACACAGAAACTGAAAACAATCTCCTCCTCTTGCTCTCCACTGCAGTCTGCCAATATAAACCACAGCAGCAGTTAGCAGTGCAGTCAGTCTGGCTACAGTATATCCTTCGGCAGCAGTTATCAGCTGAGCGTTTGGTATGAGGGCAGACAGAGCTGAGTTAATCCAGGACCCTCCCCTGGCAGGAAAGGCACACTTCCTCTCACGCAGGCAGAAGAGAAAACACACAAAGCAGCAGCAGCAGCAAGTGCTGACAGGGACAGGCACTAACAGCCACTCTGATTGGCTGAGGCAGCAGAGGCAGATGTTTGGCAGCAAGCAGGACCCAGATTGGTCACTGCTGCGTCACATGACGCTATGACAGCAGCTCACCATCACTGCATTAGTGTGTGTATGTGTGTGTGTGCACTGAGCAAGCAGGCACACGTAGCACATCAGAAGGATTTGCCACGGAGGGAGGGAAGGCAGGAAAAAAAAAGGAAGGAGGGAGGGGGAGCAAATGAAAAGGTTGGTCATGAGGGGAAAAAGGAGGAGATGGATGGAAAGAGCCGCACGTACATGACGGTGGGAGGGGAACAACGGGGAAGGTTTGGCTAAAGGAAGGAGAGGAGGAAATAAGGTTGGCCAAAGAAACAACTAGAGGGCAAGAAGAACAGGAAAAAGAACTAGATAAGACACGCTATGTCTCAACACTTAAAATAAACAAACAAAAAAAAATAACCAGACAAAACATGCCACCAGCAGTGATGCAACAGTCTTTCCTTAAAACTCTGCCTGGTCATGATACTGTGCAAAGCAGCCACATATTGCCAAACATTGTCCTTCTATGCTGACATGAATGCCACTATTATTTTCCATTTATACTGACAAGACTCATCCCTGACTCTCAACTGATCTGTTGAGCAATGAAATCAGGTATGAGCAAGAAAAAGTGCTGATAACAAAACCTAAAATGCAAAGTCCCTTTCAAGGTCGTCATATGGGTGTTGTAGTGTAGCACAGTACATGATTTACAGAGTATGCAAATGCATGCTATCTGAGGTGCAATAAAAATCCCACATTGAAAGCTTTGATATCAAGGTAACACATTTAGCTTCATTTTATGCTCACCTGTAGCTTTTTCACTACATCTATAGCTGCACTCTCTTCGGGTAAAGATTAGCATGATTAGGCAAATATGTCATGTAAAATAAAAACTTAAATTCTGACACAGGATTTGGTATGAACAGGCAAAACAACACACAACACAGTTGTCTCGGAACTGTAGTGGATGGATCAGACACGCAGACACACAGAAACTCACACACACATATACAAAAAAAGTGCATGGTTACATACTCGGAGTTGGAGGGTGTGACGGAGGATCGTTCCCTCTAAGGCGTGGATCCACTTCTCCCGCTCGTCTGCATCTCGGGCTGAGGGCAGAAGCATACAGACACACCCAGTGAGCCACGTTTTCCATACAGACACCGTCAGTAACCATTACACTCATGTTACACATTAATGACACTGAGACACAACACTGAAATGACATGAGTACTGGTGACACAGTGATGGACGCTGTGTTTATCTAAAATACCTTAATGTTCAGGGCTGAAGAGTCTATAATCATATGTATATGTAGTTTCACAAATAAGACAGTAATAACCATATACTTTTTATATTAGAGAGGCAAACAATGTGATTTACAGCTGAAGTAAAAAACATATCAAAATAAACAGAGAGGGCAATAAAAAGAAACAGATTTTGATGGGATTTCTGTCTGAAAATCAAATACAGAAACATGTCCAGAGATTTCATATGGCAGACGGCCATAAATGTCCTTAAAAGGAACAGACCAGCATTTTAAGTGACTGTACTCGACCAAGAAATAGTCCAGCACATAGTCCTGGACAGAGCCAGGCTAACTGTTTACCCCTGTTTTTAGTCTTTATGATAAACTAAGCTGATAATTTTCTGACTAGCTTGATATTTAAGGACATAAGGGAGGTATCTTTTCTTCCAAGTCAATTTATTGAGTTTTTTAAGGACAGATAATATGTGCATTGCAAAGGCAGCAACTTAAATGTCACACAAAGGCAAGATAAAGTAATGTCCAGTTGAGACAAATACAGAGAACAAGAAAGTAATAAACAATACAAAAAATAAATAAAGTTGAGGAGAAAAAACAAAAAACAACAACACACACCTTGGCAACCAAAATGTCACAAAAATGAGGATGTGATGTACCATGGATAGGCCCTAGTTACCGTACCTAACGTCAAGACCATAAGCTAGGAGTCAATTCACTTCTGCTGGGTTGGAGACCATTTGTCTAGAAACAGTTTTCAGATTTCCAGGAAGATATTTTCCTTGTTATATGGGGGGTATCTAACTTTCAGCAAGAAAGCAAATAGTGTTGTTCAAAATGTCAAACTGTTCCTTTAAATTAGTCATCAAAAAGACTAGTTAGTTCTGTACACAGGGTAGAAACACATTTTTTACCCCCTTGGGGCAAATCAAATACCTTGAATTTAGGAAGATTTTTGCCCTTTGCCTCTGATTATTTCTGGCACTGCCTGTACCTAAACAGCAGCTTAAAATGTAACAGCTGTCTAGCTGTGCTACTATACTAAACAAATCTAAGGAAAGTTCGCTTTCATATGACATATCTCAGTAAACACTTAAAAAAGAGAATCTCGAAGTGAAGCTAGAAAGGGCTGTGCATGAATATAGTAATACTGTATGATTTAAAGTGGTATCGTGTAGCCAGACCTATCTTGTAATGTGCCAGTGCTGGAAAAAAGGTCCCATCATAATTCCACACTAAGGGAAAAAAATCTCTGGGTTGTATGTATTTCTTTAAACCAATAACAATTGCCTTGGGCTTTGGGTGGGGCTAAGCCCAGGATGCAGGATTGCTTCCCTTGCAAAACAGTGTCGGGATGAACTTGGTTTGGTGGAAAGGCGAGCCTAGGCATTATAGTGGCTAAATCCCTGCAAAAGAAAATGCCACATAATACGTTCAAAGATGTTTTAGCGTGGATGTTGCTAGCTCAGAGGCGCTAAAACAAAGGGTGTAGATAGATCTGGCTATCTGAGATTAGTTTCATGTAACTATGAGGAATTTGCAATTATACACCTTCAAAATACTAGCAGGGTTTCTTTTAAGTGCTGTAAAGTTTAGCTGATTCAAAACACACCCACAACACACATTAAACATGGCTTAATAGAGACAATTTCAAACATAAGTAGACAAATCCGCTTCACTGTAACTCACAGCATTCACAGACACTTGTGTTTATCTGGACACAAATTTCCCCACAAATACAATATGCTAATGTTTTTAGCACAAACCTATGGCATTTTACATTGTATACATTAGCCAAGTGGCCGGCAATCTTTTCCTCTTCTCATAAAACGAAGGACAACAGCAATGTTTAACAAAGGTTACATAATTTGGCTCCATTACAACTCACAAGGTTCACTGACAAAACAACTGTCTTATACTACACATGTTCTACAAACAAATACAACATGCTAATGTTATTAGCACAAGCCTATGACATTTTATATTGTATAAATTAGCCTAACGACAAGCAGAGATTTCCTCTGCCCATATGAAGCAGGGATAAATCCCTGAGTATAAATCCCTGAAGGATAAATTATACACAAGACTTAAATTGCTATTTTTGTGGAGGCTTTATTGTCTTCACAATTTATTGTTTCTTATCTGTGAAATGCAAATAAAAGCTTTGTTTCCACTGAGGGAATTGGTTTCAGCCCACAGAAATAGACAGGAGGTCTGCGTAGGTTACAGCGTAGGCTCCATGTCAACCCAGAGCCTATAAATTCCGTCTTATACCCTCAGTCTGCATCCTGTGAGCCAGACTAAATTTCAAATATCAGTACCAGTATCAGATCAAATACACTAACACTCAAAATCTTGACTGAGCACTTATATTAGGAGTACTGACATAGTAAAATGTCAATATTCCTATGATCATGGTAAAGATGAAGAGATAAAGCTCGCTCCGAGTGGTGAGGCAGTATGGATTCTTGCCTATTTTTTTTTTTTTTTAACACGGAGCCTTTGGGTTCGGAGAGTGAAATGGAGCTGGGTGAGGCAGCACCCTCAGAGCAAAGACAAAGAACAAACAGTCCACCAGTGACATTAAACAGTGACCCATTACAGGACACCACGTGCAAACACACATACACACACTGACTGCAGAAGGCACATGCACAGTTTTTGGTGCCAGTGGCATACAGAGATACAATATCTTGTCCTCTACAAACAGACAGCTAGGATATAAAGATGTACTAGGAAGGATTTTACTAAAAAAAAAATGCATAGACTCATACAGATTCATCACTTAAGACCCACTAGAAGTTTGTGGTGGTGTATTTTTCTGCAGAGATTCCACCATCTGCCTGTATTTTCTGTTTGGGATGTTTATGGGCGTGTATCCCCACTGCGCTCAGGTGAGGCCGGTAGTGATCAGGTGCCAGTCCGTAAACAGCGGGCATCCATGAGACACAGCACCGAAAAACACCAACATAGTGAGAGTAAATCTGGGGTTGGCTCTTACTTTTATTTTCACCGGTGATCGTGTTTACAAACAGTAACAGTAACCTATGTATTTACAGATTGTATTTCAAGTTATTAAAGATTTTCAGCAGGTTTACTCCTGCTTTGTGCATGTGGATGGCAGCCACCACAGTCAAACTACATCTCTAAAAGCTGTGAAAGAAAGACTTAATTAGATATATGCCACTGAATTAGCTGGCAAACTATATCCTATGTAAAAGTCATATTTCATTGAGCTGGAAACAAGACAGCTCGGCAGATGAATGCCTGTGCTAGCACAGAGGCTGAGCTTTGCTACAGCAGAAAAGCTTTTAAAGACATTAAAAGGCAGCCAAGGCTCAGGCCAATCCACTCAGACAGCGCCTCACTGGCCTCTCACTTTCCCCCTCAGCCAAACAGACTCTCCAGAGGAACAGATTACTGCGGCTAATGTTGTTTAGCTCTATTCATGACAGAGGAGAGTTAGTAGCAGGACCATTCAACAAAAACAAATACTCTAACTGTATGAACTGTGTTGCAAGTCCAATCTCCAGCCGTGATTTAGATTAGTTAGGTATGAGCAGTTAGTCGACTCAGCACATCTCCAGTGTTTGCCAGACAGCCAGTTGGCCAGTCACATGAGGCATACTGCAAGTCAT